CCCCAAAACCCCAAAACCCCAAAACCCCAAAACCCCAAGAGGCAGAAACTATATTGGAGGTAATTCATCAAACATGCACCGCTTATTTTTTCATAGGATTCTTTTGATTCTTGGATAATTTCTCCAACATCTCAACAATTACTTTCAAATTTTCATTAATCTCTACCTGAGATTCGCTTTCTTCAGAGGTCTTGGATTCATTAAGTTTCTTCTCGTCTAGACTATTAACCTAGCACTCACCATCTTTTGCTCACAAGTAGTCAATCTTCTCTTCCAGTTTTTTGAGCTTATCCTCTAACTTCATGACTCTGTTCCTTTTCAAACCTGATTCAGATCGGACAATGGCTCTTGGGTCTAGGTCATCAGCAAGGATGGCTTACTTCAAAAATCAGCTTCTCTTGATATCTCCTTGAACTTCTTAAGGTTCATCACAAGTTGTCTTTTGGCTTTCTCAACCTTGTCGTCAATAGTATCTATCTTGAAGAAAAAAGACAGAGAGGATCTCTGGAATTCCTTGTTCATACCATCAAATGCCTTCTCATTCCTATTTACGCTTCTGTACCTGGACTCTGAGAGCTGCTACAATGCAGGCCACTGCTGATCTCATCTTGATAAGCTTCTTAAATGCATTGTTCTCGAAGGAAGTTAGTGAAAATATGCCTAATTTTTAGAGGTGACTCTTACCGTTTACAGAGACAATCAGGATACTTATGAGGTAACCTCCCCAGAAGGTGGTGAAAATTGTCACTATCTTCCCAAATCTTGTGTAGGGTGTAAAGTCTCCATACCCCACTGTGACAATTGTGATTACTGTCATATAGATCTTGTCAATGAACAAATCGTCTTTCCAGTCATTGTACAACTTGCCAAAAGGCTGTTCTACTAATCTGTGTATATAACTGAGCACAAAAATAGAAGACAAAGTTGTAAATACAACAGTGTTGAACGGGTATCTAATCAGATATCATTTATACGAGAACCTCGTGTTTGCAGTAAATCCATGCCTCTCACAATGTATCTTAGCAAACGGGTCCGAGAACTCAGTGTGGTTGAAGATAAACCTGACAAGAATAATCAATCTCAAGAACATGAACACTATTCGATGAATCTAGGGGCTTACCGATTATGAAATCTGAGACCAAATATGGAGCTTGGACTGCCACTGGAGACCCTGCGATATATTCACTAATATAGATAGTATAATCGTAGTAAGGTATTGGGCAAACAATCAAGATTATTATATCAAATATGAACTTAGTGGTGATAAGACCCTTCTCTCTGTTCCTACGCATTAAGTTCGTGTAATCATTATTATAATGCAGATTCATTGTTTGCTTAGGAATCGGCAAATTCGACCATTTGATCTTAACTCAATAACGAAAAACTATGATTAAGAAGCTGAGGAAGGAAAGACTACAGACAATGATTCTGAGTCAGTTCCTGGTATGATTCAGCTGATCTCTGTGCTCAAAGTGATAACTAAACGCATACTCATACTCAAGAATAGCAAACAAAAGAGCAAGAACGCTCATATAGGACGCTAGCATCTCTGCATTTCTCCATTTCTTATAAAGTCGCATATGTTGCTTAGTCATATCCGTAAATGCTTTAATTCTCAGCCCAAGGCTGCCAAAGAAGCTCTTCTGCTTTTTCATCGGCTCTGAAGATTGCTTGCCTGAGGTTCCAATTTTTCCTATAAATGAGCTAATATCCTTACTCTTCTTCCTATATTGCTTAACTTTCAGGAGGGGTTTCTCCATTTCATCCTTGGTCTCGTTCTCTAGAGAGGTGAAGCCCTCCTCTTGGAAAGTACTTCTCTTCTTGGAGCCAAAGAATCTTCTGACTATGTTCATAGTGATATAATATTATACAATGTGAGTAGAATTTGTGGGGTTTTGGGGTTTTGGGGTTTTGGGGTTTTGGGG